ATTTTAAGTTCTCACGTCGTGAATTCAATAGTGATCAGGTGCGTCATCGCCACTTGCGTCTGTCAGGCTCCAGAAGTCATAAATACCAAGTTCACGTCGTGAACACTGTATTCACGTCGTGAACTCTGACAGTTTTGGGGTTTCGCGCCCCGAACTTTAGAAATTCATAACTTTCGCATACGAACTCCGTTTTCGACGTTCTTTATATCCACGCGTAGGTGAGATTATGCTCTACAACTCTCGTTTAGACTCCGTTGGCTAATTTTGACTTTAATTTTAATATATTATTAATATATTATTTTTAGTAGGCCGGGACAGGAAAACTCCGTTCGAAATTCATAACTCCTTTATCTGAACTCCGTTTTCGTCTGTCTTTTTATCGTTGGACTAATATTGATGAGATCTTCAATTCTCATTTAGAAAGTTTTGGCTAAATATCGCTCGACCTCAATCTCGAGTTTCGGGCTGAATACTGTTAATGCTGAAACTTCGAAAAAATCATAACTTCCTCATACGAAGTCAGATTTAGACGTTCTTTTTATGCACGCTCTCGGTTTAACGTATTCTACGACTTTCATTTAGATCGCTAAGGCCAAATATCACTCTAACGTAAATTCACTATTTACGTCGCGCTGTGTCGTGCCGGTTCTGTCGCGAAACTTCGACAGGTCATAACTTCTTCGTTATAACTCGGATTTCGGCGTTCTTTATATCTACGGAATCCTTGTAACATATACTACAACTTAGTTAAGATTACTCATTCTAAATAATCTTCCATCAAAAAATCATTTTTGATACTTATCGTCTCTAAATTGACTAGCCCGGATCTACGGGCGTTACACCTTAGGCATCCTCGTATCTCAAGGGACCGAATCAATTGCGAACATTATCCAAGAAATTCTCCTACGCGGTGATCAGTTTATTGTATGTCATCCACCGGTACCATTTCGCAGCGTCACCTTCCAAGTTAAAACCGATGATCTGTAAACCGCTGTTGTCGTATGAAGCTTGTAATATTCATTGATGGCAAAGATCCACCGTTTTGGTACCGAGTCATTGAACTTGGGTACGTCCCGACGCATTGATCTAGGAATGTTACCTCCTTGATCGTCGCTGCCACCTGCGTCCAATCGTGACTTCGCCATGGCTAGGGTTTTCGTGGCTTGAAATCCTTGCGTGAGGGATGCGATTTGGCTGGTGAATGGATCAGCTTGTTCCTTCAAGAGGAGATGAACCGCCTGTTCATCCATGGTAAAAGTGCAATGAAAGCACCAGTTAATATGCCTTATACGAATCGATAAGCACTACTTCAAGCAAGTGTATGCTCCTTAACCAATTACCAGAGAGATTGAGAAGTTATGTTCTAAAAGCTATTTGATTCCATTATGCCATAAGGCTTAAATACGAGTTCAAACAGAGAGAGAAAACATAGTTCAATACTTATTAAAACAACCTAAATACTCATCTACTACTATTTAAAAATAAACATGATCTCAACCCATCACATAATCCTTTTGCCAGCTTGGTTCAGTTGTTATCCTCCGTGATTGTTTCCTATCCTGAGTTGCTGGCGTAACACTCTGTGGGGGAGATCTTTGTCTTGAGACTCATGGGTTGATAACCCGATCTAGTAGCTTGAAATTTTAGCTTCTTGTTGTTTTTTAATAAAATTATGCTGTTAAAAAAAAGTTAGGTATCTAGTTAAATTTTTTATACTCAAGAAATAATGACAACTTGAATTTCTTTGGCATTTTTTTTTGATGGATTTTAATTCCAACTTGTATTATGAATATGTTGGCAAGTATCCAAATCTTATGACATTAATTGTTTGTATGTATAAAGACAAATGTATGTCACTATAATATATATGAAAACCTGCAAACTGAAATGAAGACACATTTGGCCTCATTCGAAAAAGCAACCATGTTACCTCCTTCCCTAGAACTCTTTGTTGGACTTCAAATTATCATAAGATAATCTCAGTTAGAATATAACCATCAGACTGACAGAGCCACGAGGTCCCACACCCTATCGTTTTCTGTGAAGATGGAATGTGCATGGGTTCGTCTATATCAATAACATAACATATAAGGCCATGTCATTTTGACACATAATGTTATATTTGTGTAACAACTAGGTTTTGCACTTATCAAGATATAATGCAACGTTGTGTTTTAGGAAACGGTTTATGAATAGTAAACAATTAGTGTTACAGATTTGCGAATGGTGTTTAAATACTTGATAAATTTTCTACCACAATAGTCAAAATAGATTATCTCTATGTTACGTAGACAAGCCCATAATTTATTGTAATATTATGTTTAATTAATTATATATAGTAGTGCACTTATGGCTTTTTAAAATAAATATGTATGTATGAAAACGATTTTTTATATGTTTTTAATTTCATGCATTGAAAACGAATATGTAAAAAAAAATTGAAATAGAATTTGATATATATATATATATATATATATATATATATATATATATATATATATATATATATATATAGAGAGAGAGAGAGAGAGAGAGAGAGAGAGATTTATTATTGATATCATGATAATTATAGAGAGAGCTAAATGCATATAAATAAAACCATGTCTAGACAATACGAGACACTAACATAGTATCATATTTGACTTTTTTTTTATTCATGTTTATATATATATATATATATATATATATATATATATATATATATATATAAACATGAATAAAAAAAAAGTCAAATATGATACTATGTTAGTGTCTCGTATTGTCTAGACATGGTTTTATTTATATGCATTTAGCTCTCTCTATAATTATCATGATATCAATAATAAATCTCTCTTGTTTGTTCAGGAAACGTAGTCCTTTTATGGTTCTTTATTTTTCTTCCCATCTTTTAGTTGTATATTTTTCATTTGAATATCTAGCAACTAGTATCAGAGTTATGGTCCAAAACGTGAATATTAATATCGATAAGTCTGATGGATGTTATTAAGGCTTTTGGAAGATGCGGATCTAAGATTATCTCTTCTCGAAAAAGTTACACACACCCAAAGCAGAAACATGAGAGTATGAAACATGAGGATCGGATGTTGTTGAATCGATAGGCCCACTATTAGCGTTGACCTTTGGAGCATTTGCAGCAACAGTGCCTTTGCGGCGACAGTGAGCATTAGCGGCGACATACGGAGCATTTGCAACGAGACAACAACGACGACCTTTTAGCGGCGACATACCTAGTTTTTCGCGGCGACGCCTATAACCGCTAATGCTCGTGTTTCTTGTAGTGCAAAATGACCAAATTAAGGTGTCTCGATGAAAAATCGTGTGATTGAATTTAATTCAGTTCTACCGAGACTAGTATCAATGTATCATTGACATTAAATTTGATAATGATGTGCAGACATTGATGTTACTATCTTTGTTATTCGAGATTTAGTTTGGTACAATAATTAGCAGTTTATCTAGAGCTATTAAATTTGCATTCAAAGTAATTCACAATTTGACCCTAGAAGAGGATATTTACAAGAAGAATGTTGATGAGTGTTCGGTTCCTTGTTGAGTAAAGAAGGTTGGGAGATTCCAATACAAGCGGTGGTAATTGTAGCAGATCTTCAAAATAAAGGAATATGGTTCAAAACAATTGTGGGTAAGGGTTACGAAGGCTAGATATGATCTTCCTCGCCTTTAAAAAAGTTGTGTCTTCTTCAAACCTAGAAGCCAAATTCGATTTTTCTCATCTTTAACTATAATCTTGCTTTATTTTTAAAAAAAAATCAAATTGTGTGTATTCTTCAAACCTTGAAAATGGCTTGCCTTCAAATTTGATCCATATTCTTGGATTCGATGTTGTTCGTTATAACGGATAAGCAAAGAAAACTAAAATAAATAGGCATTCAATGTTTTTGCTATGTATAAAAGAGAAGGTGGAGTATCGAATTGGAGAGAGACGTTGAAGAGTGGGATTGTGGGAGCCGGGAGGTACACTCTTGGTTACAAGACTGTCGTTTAAGTTCCTCATAAGAGCTCCAGATGATGATTTAAAATTTTAATCCACTTGTTTTTGTGTTTATTTGAATCAGATCAATCATGTATGTTTTCATAGCATTTATATTGATATTTAGAATTGATTTTGAATGTAGTTATATGAGTAACGATTGGTATTGTAGGGATGTCGTGACAAAATTGATGACAGCCGAAAGACATATGTCGAAGGACATACCGGATACTCATTGGAGGTGTCAGTGTTGTCTAAAATGTCGTCGGAGGTCCCAACTCATCCCGAAAATCCGATACACTTAAATATCTGCTAATAATTGTGTGTTTTGAACCAAAATAAGTTTAAGGACTACTTGTGTATTAAAATATCCGGAGTATAGTTGCTTACCGTCCAAAGTTATTAACTTTATTATAATGTTGCCCATTTTGAATTGGCATTTATTAATTTGTCTAAGACCTGAAATTAAGGTATGCATTGCTAGTAATTTTGATATGTACCATTATAATATTTACAAAATACGCTTTTCTTTTTCTTTTTAACATAGTCGTGTGACCATGAGTATCTGTGTAATTTTTGTCCTTCCATTATTCCTTTTTGGTACTTTTATTTTAATTTTCCCTTATATGCACATCCTACCTTTGAATACGACAATAAAAAAACACACAAGCTTAGAGTATGGAGGAGAGTAACGAGGTAGAAATGGATGAATTCCAGATAACTTTTGTGTTTAATTATTAAGTGGGGTACCGGAACTGTGTCAGTGTTGAAGGGGAAGCAAAATCCCAAAAAATTTGCCACACTAAACAGCCAAGCATTAAGCACCCACCACCTCACCTTCGATAACCCTCCTTTTGTTAATTAGCAACAAATTTGTCACATCTCTTTACTTAGCAGCTCCTCCCTTCCCCAAAAGATTCTTCATGTTCCTTTCACTTCCCTCAAACTAAGATATAGACTGCCCACCTCCCTTCTGCCTCTATTCCTCGTTCGTTTTGGCACTTGATCAGTAATGGATCAATCAAGATATTGGATCCAGAAGGAAAGAACTTGTTTGAATTCGCATGAGTTATCATCGTTTGGTGATTCTTGGGAAGAACAAGCATTCGCAGAAGACGCAGCCGGGCCACTCGGAGGATGTATATGGCCTCCAAGATCTTATACTTGCAGTTTCTGTAGAAGAGAATTTCGGTCAGCACAAGCTCTTGGTGGTCACATGAACGTTCATCGAAGAGATAGGGCTAGACTGAAGCAAAGTCCAAATAACAACCAAATTCTTGAACCTAATACATCTTTGGGTAGATGTACGTTACAAAACCCTAATGAGATCTGTAACCCTAATTTTGACTTGGACAATGCTCTCTTTTCATCATCTTCTCTAAGACCATCTACAGATTCCATTCTCCGCCCTTTCACCTGCTCTTTCGTTCAACAACAGCAAACGAGTACACCCATATTGTCATGGTCCAAGTTCGATCCTCAGAAAAGATTCCATATAGCCGATATGGAAAACCAAGCAGAGAAGGGTTATACAAAAGTTATCCAGTCGAATACCACCAGTTCCAAGAAGAATACTCGTCAGATTGAGGTTCATTTCGCTGCTAACTTAAATCCACGCGTTAGAGGAAGATGTGACACACCTATCTGCAGTGACAAGAGTGACCAGGACGATGGTTTGATCTTCAAGAGAAGGCGAATACACGAGGATGTACAGTTTCTCTTTCCAAAAACTAGTAACTCGATAAATTGTGATGCAGGTGAATCCATGGTGTCTCTTAAAAGTAGCCCGAACTCTACTTTAGAGAATTTGGATCTTGAGCTACGACTAGGTGATCGGCCTTAATCAGGTCAACCGTGCAAAAACTGTGTTTTTAATGCTGTTATATTGCTTCTTCCTTTCTTTCCTTTAACGTTTAGTCCATCTGATTAAAGCTTTGAGGGCAAGTCTTCTTCGTTGAGTATACCATGACAAGCAATGGGAGTGTAACAAAAGAATACATGTAATTTACATGAACGTTGATTAATAGATTGAAGTTTTTGTATTGTATTAGCATCACCGATTAAATGAATAGTGTTTGTTAAATAAACCAGTGGCAGCCAACTCGTTCTAACCGAGTATCATGAATCACTAATGGTGAGTTCATAAGTTGTTGCTAACGAAGAGTCTCTTTTCCTTTGTTGTTGTCTTAATTATCTCCCACAATATAACCATGTAATTACCTTCTGAAAATTATATATACACAGACATTTCTTTGTTATACCGATTCAAGTAGGACATAGACGAAATATATTGGATTAAGATTCGAAAAAGCTATGGTCGTCCATTACCAATCTCGTTATTTTCTTGGTTCCATAAGTTGATCGTAGAAGAAAATAAGATGTAAGGAGAAACAAAGATGAGATTCACTACTGATAATAAAGAGAACAAAAAATTAAAATGGTATACACATATATGGGACCCAAACGTTGATAGACCCAATCTAGAGACTCAATCATAGAACGTGTTGTGTGTTCCTGAAGTAAGATAAATTGTGTGTCCCTTAAGTAAGTTATTTACTAGGCATATGTATTACAGAATTAAATCAGATTACTATCGTGTTGCCTATCTTTTTCTCATGTAAAATTGAACACTAGGAGTACATAAAATTGTACAAAGGTATCAAATTTTCTTTAATTTTATATAGTATGTCATTTTTATAGGCGGATAGTATATCACACATTCAGAAGTAGACTACATACTTATTTCGTGCATTTTAATTATATAACATGTATTTGTTTCAAAGTATCAAATTTTGATGATGAAGGTTCCAACTTTACTCGAGATGCTTATTTTATGCATGAATTGGTTGTTAATCTGTATCGTATGATAGTTTATATGAACAGTTATATTTGTACAGTATGCTTATTTTGTACAGTATCATAGTCTATATGAATGCTTATATTAATTGTACCATAAAACCATTTTTAGGGTTTTTAGGTTAGGACTTATTGTTAGAACTATTACTAGTAGACATGGAAATCAATGATATATACTATTAGCCGATATATATATATATATATATATATATATATATATATATATATATATATATATATATATATATATATATATATATATATATCTATATATATATATATATATATATATATATATATAGGAGTCGGTTCAAAAAATATATATATGGATAGTATATATCTTTAGGAGATGTATTTTATCTCCACATATGTGGCTAAAAACCCTAGAACCGACACCTACCTTCAATCAAAAGTTACGGCTTTGTCTCACACCCTTCACGGTTCTTCGATCCCCTCTCCTTCTTCAGCGATCAAGAAGTCATCACCATGGGCAAAGATGATGTCGGTTCAAGCAAAGTAAAGGCCACGGCCTTACACCCAACATACTCTGTGACAAACATTCAAACCAAGATACGAACCGTAGATGGCACCAAGATTACCTACTCCTTATGGACGAAACTGTTCTGTCTCCATGTCAAAGCCTACAAGGTACCAAATCATTTTGACGACACCCCAACACCACAGAAAAGTCATCTTAGTTATCACCAGTGAGTGGAGATCGATGCCCTTGTTTTGCAATGGATTTATAGTACACCGTCTAATGAACTCATGGTTCGATTCCTAGAAAGCGATATTACCGCTCAAGCTGCATGGAACAAACTCAAAACAAACTTTATCAATAACAAAGGCTCACGTGGTGCAGCCCTCGAACATGAATTTTCCACTCTTACACTGGGTGCATCTTCATCAGTGGAAGCTTACTGTCAGATGCTGAAAGATTTAGCGGACCAGCTAGGAGATGTTGACAAACTGCTCACTGAAGCAAGACTCGTCTCATAGATGGTTCGTGGATTACCACTAGAGTTTGATGTCGTCGGGGCGTATATTAATCAAAGTTCGCCATCACGGGAGACGGCTCGTAGCATGTTACAGTTGGAAAACACAGACAAATCGCAAGGAAAAATCAAATGCACACAGTACTCGTTGCACCTTCTTCGTTCGATCGATCATCACTAAACCCTACAACAGCTCAACGTGGTCAAACTCCCACCTTCCACAACCACTTAAACAATGGTACAAGCACATGTGGTCGAGGTTCAAATGGTAGAGGTCGTAGCATACATTTTAGAGGGTGTGGAGTTCGAGGTCAACAAAACTAGAATCAAGGAAGTCAATTGCATCAACATATTTGGATCACTTCGCCATCATGGAATCCACCACCATCACAATATCCTTCCCACGATGCAAGCAAGTCTACAAATCACTGGTTAATCATACCTTCAGCTCCAACCCTAGTTTTGAACCAACGACGCAATAAGGGCCTGATGGACCGCTTACAGTGCAACCCTCCGACTTAATTATTGCTTCCAGTCTCCAGTTTGTTGGCTATTTAAACTACAACCCATCAGATTTAGCCCAAACAATCCAACTAATTTATATGCTCTCATTTCCACCTCTCACTATCGTTGGCATGCTCACTTGGGTCATCCGGGCGCTCCTGTTGTAGATTTACTTTGTTCTAAATTTTCATTTACTTTTAATAAACCTACGACTTCTTCTTTATGCAATGATTGCCAGTTATCTAAACATACACAACTCCCCTTTTATGATTCATAATCTGAACTTTTGCACCATTTGATAGTATACAATGTGATCTTTAGACATCTCCAATCTTAAGCAAAACAGGTTACAAATACTATATGGTCCTCACTGATAATTTCACTCATTATGTATGGGTTTACCCTCTTAAGTATAAACCCGACACTTTCCTTAATTTTACAAAATTCCATAAATTGATCCATACTTAATTTAACCGGACTATTAAGTCTTTTCAATGTGATCTCGGTGGTGAATTTGACAATAATGAGTTTAAATTGTTTGCCCTAAGTCAGGGTCTCGTCTTCCGTTTCTCATGCCCACAAACATCTCAACAAAATGATCGAGTCGAACGAATGATATGTCGCCTTAATGACATCATTCATACCCTTCTCACTCATGTCACACCCCAAACCAAGGATGGCGGAAACGTCCGGGGGGTGGGAATGACTTCATGTACAGTATCATAACAACGAGTATAATAGTGACCAAAGCAAACACAACCATCATAAATATAATTGAAAAAGTTACACCATAGTATGAATTACATGTTTCAAAATCAATTACATTATGATGACAAAAATGTATTAATTGACGTCTTGCGTCCCATCCTCAAAAGCAGTTGGTTACCTGTTTCACTGGTTTCCTGAGAATACAAGTAGTTTTGAAAGAGTGTCAACAATTAAGTTGGTGAGTTCATAAGCTTTTAGATGTAGTGTTGGAAAACCTTTGTTTGTAAATGTAATGTATACACAATAAAAATCCAATATTTTCCTTATAAAATGTTATGTAGTCTTAAATCCCTAGACCGAATGTATGAGTGTGTTTCGTAATTGTAACGAAGAATGCAGTTTTAAATAGATAAAACCACTTTTTGAAGTAGAATTTCCCGTCAACTTGAAGTGTTGTTAACTCCCTATGTTAGTCGCTATAACCATACTACAACTGGATGACCTGCTACAACGTTTTTCAGACGTTAGAATTGTTATGACTTTTGTCACCCGTAGACCTGCAGGTCCCACTGTAGCTAGCAGCAAGGTGTGTGGTGTCAATCCCAATATATATCTATATACAATTATCACGCTCTCCCTACAAGAGATTCTGGTTATAACCTACAAGAATTTTAACCCGTACTCTAAGAGTACAATTGAAGAATTGTCTCACAACTTACGTTAACGAGTTTACGTGTGGTTTGAATGTAAAACCTTTTCTGTGGGGGAAGTAAATCCTCTTTTTATGTAGTATGTTTGAAATGTAAAATCCATAAACTATACCTATTATAGTTTATTGTATGTGTTTGAACTGAATGAAAACTCTTATCGTGAATGAAAACTCTTATCATGAATGACTAATTTCTGTTTATGATGATAACCTCACAAGAAATGCATCCCACATTTAGAAACTTATGGTTATACACTTTGCTAAACATGTTACAAAGTGTTGTCAATATTATAAGTTGTTCAACTAGTTTTTAACTTTTCTGCACTGTTTTAGAAAAATCACAGAAAAATCATACGCAGTCTAAAACTGAATCCGTAAACTCTGAGAGTTTAGAAAATGTGTCTAGTTTGTTCATAATTTTTATTATGATTTTTAGAAGTCTCTAACTTGTTTGAAAATGTTTAACTTCACAGACTGGTCCGAAGTTGTTTATGAAATGATAGGCAGTTTTGTAAAAATCGCCAAAAATTGTAGGCAAATCGTATGAGCATGTGCAAGTAGTCATTAGAAAGGTATAAACCTGAACTATTCGTACCTTGTAAATTTTTGAAAACTAAAAAGTTTAAGATGTTCAAAACAGTCCGTGAATGGAACTAAACTTTCCTGATGAAAGCTGATGTTTGAGTTTAGTTAAGTTTTTAGTGTAATAACTTGTATTCCCCCCTAAAACTTGAAGAAAACATGAAAATGTAGGGGTATGAACTCACCTTGAGTGATTTTTTGGAATGGATGTGGAAGAAAAGAGGTTTCCAAGTCAATAACACTTAGGAGGTGCTTGAAGATTTGAAGATCCTAGGCACAAATGTGACGATATTTGTGTAAGAGATCCATGATTTGAGTGAAGGAGTGTAGAGTATTCAAGTTTAGGATGAAGATAATTACCAAAAGTGGAGGAGAATGCTCAAGAACAGCTTTGAAATCTCGAGTTTAGAGAGAGAAAGTGAGAGAGAAATGGGTTTGATTTTTGGTGAGAAGAATGAATATTTTGGGAGGAGAGATAAGGATTTTTCC